AATTGCAATAAGTTTGAAATGATTAAAGAAATCCCGCTGATTCCATTTTTGACATATTCTTCTGCAAATATCGTAATCTTAATTTACATATATTTCTTATTTCTCGCGGAATTTAATGATCCAATCCATTTATATTCAAATATTTATATTTCCAAGTCATCCCATTTCATATCAATTAATAATCAAATTAATACCAAATTTTCAACTTTATTTGGCATTTCTTCTTGCCATACTTTTATTTTGATCCGAATGGATTATTGATGGAGATGTCTGCTGACTGAATATGTTCTCAGGTGCTTTCCGGTATACCGGAAGATTCGCTTAGAGTTTTAAAATATTTTCAGAACACTTTCCCCATTCGTTTCGAAAGTGTTTAGAAACGAAAAAATAATTGAATTGAGAGGTGGAAATAGTGAATCATTCATGCAACAATCTCCGTTTTAATCATAAACAAACTTTTGACATGAATATATATGACAGTGATCTCGAAGACTGACTATTCTATTTTTGAAGTGATTATGTGCTCTTTCACAATCAAGAAAATTTTGCAACTTTTAAAGATTGATAGGAAAGATGGTTTTATTTTTCTTATCATCTCCTCCAGTCTCTTCCTTTCATTAATATTTCAATTTATTAAAAAGCTTTAGAAATTAAAGAGAAAAGAAAGAAAAAATGAATAAATTTACGTTCGTTAATTTTCGTCATTGGAATTCATCACAGAAGCAAAGCAGTAGATAAATATCAAAAGTTACAATTAGCTATTGTTAGCTTTTACATTCAGCCATTCCTCTGATTACTTCCGAGATTACTGCCAGATTTGGTATACAGAAATGATTTTTGGTATTAAACGATTTTACATTCACGTAAAGTAATTTTTCAAAATGTTCACTTATAATGATTTGCGTAAAGTAATTTATATGGTAATATTATTTTTTCATTGAGTAAAATAATTTATTTTTCTGAAATGTTGCAATGACGAAAATCACCTTACTTCAATTTTAATCATTCCACTGAAAGTGCACCACAATCGACCTTCCTTCAATACTTTATGTAGAAAGTGTCGGGGAGGTGATATCTGGCAATTAAAAATAATTTAAAGTTGAAGTTAACAAATCTGCGGAGAACTTTCAGCACATTATGTACTGAAAAGGAAACAATCATTTAGTTTGCAGCAAAATTTGCAAATGTTTGATGATCATTTGCCATATTTATAGCGCTTTTGATTAAATCCGATCAGTGTTAACCTTCATGTTCTTTTTATTTTACTTTCATTATCTCTCATATAAGCATCGAAATTTATAAAAAGGCTCATAACAGACAGTAAGGTGCGAAAGTGCAAATTCATAAATTAGGCAAGTCAGGAAAAGACAAAAAATCAAGAAAAGAATATGATAAAAAATGAAAAATGAACATGTTCATGGCGATGAAAAATGAACAAATAAATGTTCATCGTGCAATTAAATAACAATTTTACATTTCAGTAGCAAACATTATTAATTTCAAAATTAGAGAAAATTTATCTGATAGCTTGCAGTTCGACAAATGATGCCAATTGCAAGAAAAGATGTAAAGCAAAAACATCTCTCTCCCTTTCTTCTTAGGTCATAAATTTATGAAAAAAAATATTTCTCCCTAGAAAAACTTACTTTCTAGAAAGAAATAAAGTTTTCTCCCTCTCTCTCTCTCTCTTTCATTTCGTGTTTCATTATGGAAAAAATCGAAATATGGCATAAAAATCACGTTAAGCTAAGAAAAAAACTGAAAAATTTTAGAAAGCAGTTGTTCATAACACAATTATTTCTATGCCAAAATTTCTTATTATTAAAAAAAATACTTCGTTCACTCATTGTATTTTATACACGTTTCACTTAACTTGCACGTTTCATCTCATTGCTAACGTTACAGCTTTCACATCTTTTTCTTCAAACAAAATGTTCGATGCCATTTGTTGCTGCTTTTTAAAGCTAATCACTTCACACATTTCATTCAGTTTTCTTCTTATTACGATCATGTAACCTTTGCAATACTTCCAATCCTCTCTCTATACACTTATTCATATCAATACTTACTGTAGGTGTTTATTTACGTGGAAAGACGTACGTATATGCAAACATTTGATGAATGCATTGCTATCGATGAATTAAAATTTTTCTATTTTTTGAATCACAATCATTACAATTTAACAAACATAAATATCGCTTTTCTAATTTTTTCACTGTCCATTAATCATTACTGATTGTACTTTTTGGTTTGAATAACCTTTTGCTGTGACATTTATATTTCTTAAATTGTGGAAAACCTAAGACAGTACTGTTTTAAAATTTCAAACAGAAAAGATGATTTGCTTTGATCTTTGCCAATCGATTAGAATTGAAAAAAAAAGTTTGTTTCAGAAGTTTGAATTCATTTCATATTTTTTTACACAGCCATATGTTACATAATGGGAACTGATGCCACTACCGTCCATATTCTTTCTCGTCTTTCCACCTTTTCTTCGATCAATTTTCTCCCCATAAATACTACCTGATAATTCTTCATTTTTATGGAAAAAAAATTTCTTATTTTGTTCAAACAGTCATTTAAAAGGACGAATCTTTTTGAGTGTTCCCACCATCCCTTTTTCCCATTCCTTTCTCTTTTCAAATACATTTCATTGACGTTTCTTTCAGAGTTTGATTGGACGGTTAAATAAAATTTTAACTATCTGCTTGAAAAGTTAGTTTTTCACTTCCTAACTTTCATATCAATCCTTTCTTTTTATCATTTGCTTTATTGATAGACTGGTCAGTATTGTATTAGCAAATATTGTTCTATACGATGGAAATTCAATCTACATTAATTGGTTAAAAGATTAAATCCAAACTTTTCCAAACTTATTGCAACTCATAATGACAGCATATCTCGGAACACTTTTATGGAATTCAACTTTTAAAGAACTCATTAAAGGTTTTCTGTGAAATTTAAATGTGCTTTATTTTTTTAAAGTTAACAATGTGTATCGCAAAGACAACAACTGTAGCACAACGTTCGCTGTGCAAATTACCGGTGAAACAATTTGTGGTACCACTGAGATCCAAATGTACCACATTCATTGAGGAACCAATTTATAGACCACGCTTCAAAAAACGGGATTGGGAACAGAGTTCATTGTGGGGAAAAATTTCCGGCCGGTAGGTTCTCCCAATGATTCGATATTGAATTCTTATTAAATTCATTTCAATTACAAACATTTATTATATTCATTTCAAATTTTCAGTATTTATTAAGGTTATCCCATCCATACTTTTCAATTCTCAATAAGGAAATGACAAATTAGGTAGCAAACGTTGTAGAGAATGTAATTGATACTAATATTGCTAAGGTAGATTTTTCTTAGTTACTAAACACTTGATATCATATTATCATATTGTCGTTCTGATATATTGTTGTTATCTTTCCAAAGTATACTGGCTTTAAAAAATATATCAAATTTAAAATTTTAAAATATAAGAAAAATATATGAAATTGTTAACAATTCTATGAGACAACCGAATTACAGTAATGAGTGAAAGAAAAAAGTTAGCAAACAAAATTAAAGAGGAAGAGAAGATCTTTTATCCATTTTCCGAACCACTTTTGCCCTGAATAACGCATCTGTTCCATCGAATGTTTTTTATCTCGATGGAAGGACAGTATGTTAAGTGGAAATTGAGGAGAACGACCTAATACAAAATGTTCTTACCTAATCAATATAATTGATTTATGTTTGCAATGCAAAGAAAAATTCTTTTCTTGCAGTTCATGAACAGTTGATATATAAAAAGAAGTGGAAAACAGGAAAATGTAAAATCGTTTAAATATATTTGATTGAAATGCTGTGCAATAAGAAAGCCACAAACTCAAAAAAAAGTTTTTTTAAAAGAAATTGGTATTTCTTTTGATATTTTTTTTCCAAATAGTTAATTTTTATTTGCAGTATGTATGACGCATGGCAAGCGTCATATTTCGGAAAACGATTAGCTCTTGGTTTAGCATTTGCGTGGTACATGTTTCAGGATTTGGAGAATCATTATGTCTTTATTGATGGTTATTTCTCTTTCGTTCTATTTCTTTTCGCAATTTTTTAAAAATTTTTATTACTCATATTTAAATGTTCTTTTGAAAAGTGGAAAAAAAGTATAATTTTACTATTTAAAACTTGTTTTCAGCTATGAGCAATAAGTTTGAGGACTATGCGGAAAAAGATGAAGAGGAGGTGGGTGGTTGTTCATTTTTATTATTCTTAAAACAAATTTTTACAACTAATGAATCTATCCCTTTTCATTTCAATGCATGATTTTTAATATTTCAGTCATAATCGATGAGGGAAATTTTACAATCCCACTGAAACAATATTTTGAAATAAGATATTTTAATGTAAAATAATGATTTCTGAATTCTCACATGAATTTCTGTCAAAATAATCTGTTTAAAATTTAGATCGTTTTAAAATTGTTTCAAAAAGAAATTTGAAATAAAGGAATTAGTTGGCTTACAATATGACTTTTCATTTCGCTGAACATGAAGAAAATGATTCAAAATTTCTCAGGAATGATATGGCCTGTGGCGAAATACACAAAGACAGTTAATAATCGAAACTGTCCAAGTCGAAACTCCATTTTAATTAATTAATCAACTTATGTATTTCTAGTATCTTCTAAAGTTAAATTCTTCATTGTATTTTGCTACTCACACTTTCGTTCTGTTTTTAAATGTATAATAAAAGAAATGAAAGTGTTTTAATTAAAATAAAGATGTCAAATATGTGTTAGTTTTTTTTTTTGTTCTTGTAATTCGAATAAAGTGGTCACTGCTGTCCATCACTGCCTATCCACTACTGCTTAAATACCATACATGGCAGATTTATTTTATCACTTACTTATTTACTGATCAATTTCAAAACACCAATTTATTTACACAGTTACTTCTTCAATATATTCATTATTGTGGAAGTGTTGTAGATTGATTGTTGTTGTTCACAGACAAATTATTTGTTAAGATTTATTTTATAAAGGGAATTTTATCAGAACAATTCTCGTATCAAAAGATGAAATGAGCAGAAGGTGATCTGTTAGGATGTTGAATATGAATGAATGAAGTTCTCCGGGTATATTTGACCGTTTTTATATGTCCATTTGGGCGGTACCAAAAGAGTAAGTAACGGGGTCAGACAGTGTTATTTGGAGAAGGAAGAAGAGATGAAAAACAAAAAGGACTGTTTTTTTTACTTGTTAGCTATACTTGTTTCACAGAAAGGAAATCAAAAGGACAAAGACGTTACAAAGCAATCTCTTGATGACATTATAGCAGCACACAGAGGTCATATGACAAAAAATTTGGTTTACCAAGGAGAAAATTGTGAAGCTCTTCCTCAGCCTAAATGCCACTGATAAAAGTTTCAATTCATGTGAATAATTTTACATCACAAATTTTCGGATTCTTCGACATTCATTTCTTTCACAACAACTTCAACTTATGGTTCCAGCTTTTGATGAATCCAAATTCTTTTTACAATTTAATACTGTTTAGACGGTGAAGAAGGATTTTAAAAATTTTTTAAAATCTTTAAATTTTTACATTCCCTACAAACTTCCTAAGTTTTCCATAGCAATCAAACGATGATAGCTTGTCATCGTTTGATTTTTAATATTTCCTTTCAAAACATATCATCAAAATTTTGCGGATTCTGCCCGAGAATGAAAACGAAGATATTCCTCTCAAAACTTCACCACTGATTTTTCATTTTCCTATTAATTACAAAACATTGTATTATAAACTTCATCACATCGTTACTTTTATTTTCTTTAAAAACACATACAAATTTCCCAATTCTTTACTTAGGATTTTTACTTTTTTATTACCCACATATGCAGGAGAATAATTTAAAAAGCTAATATCAGTTAGCAATTAATTTGGGGGAGAGAGGGTAACAATAGGATTTCAGGATTAAACTGTCAAATACAATAAATTCATTCCGGCTTGCACTGTTGTGGAAAAGCCCAACAATATGATAGTACTATGATCAGTTACAAATTTAGATAATTGATAGAGAAATGAATTCTATATTGTCTTAATTTTTATTTTTTATCATTTCCACTTCCTTCCATAGTAAATGATTTGGCTTTCTAAAACTGAATGAAAAGTTAGCGTGAAATTTCTAACTCCTAAATTGGTATTATTACCATGAAATTTCGCAAAAAAAAATCGCAGTTGATAGTATCAATCAATTATATGTGATCGTCGATGAAATAATATCAGTCAGTCATATATGATAAAATTGTTTATTATTAGAAAAACAAACTGTAATTGATTAGCTTAATCCTCTAATAAGTACTGAGAGAGAGGTTGACACAATTGCATACAAATCACCGATCATGAAGAGTAATTTTCAGAGCAACGAAACAGAGTTCCGATTTGTTTACGCATAGATGACCGGTAAACATTGATTAGCTTTATAAGTATTAAATTATTTACCTGAGCTATGTATTTACTCTTAGAGTTTTCTAACTTTATGAATGAACATTAAGAAGTTCCCGAACACAACTATACATCTTATCTAGAAATATATGAATATTAAAATAGTATTGGAAATTAATAAAAGAGTGTTAGCTTAAACTTACAATTTATTACTGAGGAAGGTACTCGATAATGTGCTGGAGATCGACTTCTAATAGAAAACATATTATAAACATTTCCACGTATGAGCACTCACGTGTTTGCGTCAAAAGGCAATAACTGATGCTGAGTATTGAGTGGTTGATGTTAACGTAGAATTAATACTTTAGCATCAATCGTTGCTATTTTATCAAAATTCAGTTTTTGGAAAAATGTTTCAAAACAATTATATTCTTTCTTTAGTTAACGTTTAAATGCAATGTTTTCGGAAATTCAAATTATCCAAATCTAAAGCAACTAACAATTGATCAAATGCATAATTTTTTAAGGTGCAATTAACGATTGCTAAAATTAGAGAAATGATCTACTTTAACCATATTTACATTTAGATTTTAAAAATTTGAATCCGAAAGTAAGTTGCCGATTCGAAAATATTCAGGTTGAGTTAAGAAGTGATTAATTTCTTAATAGTTTCTCGGAATATCAGAAATTAAGCTATCCATTAACAAAAAATAACAGTAGCGAAGCAGAGAAAAATAATCAATGCAAAAATTAAAATTTTTCAAATTTACGAGAGAAATCCAAGAAAAAATGGAAATTCGGTTAGAAATAAGAGAAAATACATAAACATTTGGTCATCTTTAAATGTATCACTCAGTTAATACTTTTCACTTTCATAGTCAAATGGGTAGGTGTTTTAGCAATATTTGAAAAACTGCGAACTTTGATAAGACCTTGACCGAATGACATGACAGAATCAGTCGATCGCGACGGAGTTAAACCACCGTTTAATGACGATACTGAACGAGACATAACGGAGGTCATTGAGGAACGACGTGCTTTCAATGATGATGCTAAAATGGAATTATTTTACAAGCTTAACATTGAATATTTTTCTGTTAAAAAAACTTCAGCATAATTTTAAATAAATTTTGTTTTAATAACAGATAAATAAACAAACCATTTATCCTATCAGCACTTAAACCGGTTGGTGGTTTTGCAGCTAAAGTTGTTGAATTTCTACGGTTTGCTGAAAGACGAGATTTCGTTGTTACCTCAGTACTGCTTCTGCTACTTGCCAGCGGTAAAGCGGTCCTAACTGTTGATGCTGTTTTATGCTGTGTATCTACTAAAATTTCAAAAAAAAAAATTGAAGGTCAAAATTTGAAAAGAAAAACAAATTTGAGGTCAATTACTTTCAGATGACAATCTAATTAAATTTCTGGAAAAGAATAATATAAACTGTCATTATAGCATATCAATCAGATATCCATCTGACTACATAATAGACAATACGGAAAAATAGTAACACTTACAAAATTTGCTATTTTGTGAGGTAGCCAATGGAAGTCGTGATTTTCGTTCTTCCATTATAGTCCTAAAACTACGTGGCATCGGGCTTGGACTACGTTGTGTGACAATAACTTGTGGTTGTGGCCTAACAACAGCCGTTTTGGGATGTTGTATATGTGTACGCCAAAGGCCTTTATCCAAACGATTAGCGTCTTTGTTACTGGAAATTAAATTTTTAAGTAATCTTCAATTATTTTAGTAACTAATATACATATGTAAATAAATGAGAGGAAGAAATCACTAAATAAGTAAGAGAAACTTTCTGTTTAGGGATAAATGATTGTTAAGTTAATATTCATATCTGACTGTTTGAGCTAATATTCATTTGTTTAGGTTAATATTCATGTCAGTTGCAACAAGCATACGTGACTCTTTTCTGATTGAGGCGCTCTTCTAAAGCATTGTTGTTTGCTTCTTCAAGAATTTCCATGACTGCTTCCTTCTGATTCCAAATTTCATTCTCAGCGTTTTCTTTTAACTCATCCGATTTGTCACTCTTACTTCGAGTCTCACTTCGTGATAACTCACATGCATACTGAAAATCCAAAGAAAAAATAACCGCTTCTTAACACGTTGGACACAAATGTGATCAGTTCTGGTCAGCTGAAGTTTGGCAGTAAAAATAAATTTTCCAAAAATTAAAATATAAAGAATTCTGATAACCGAAAATTTCAAAAAATAACTACAAATGCATACTGTTTGAATTAACTGTCGTGTTGATAAATTTTGCTCTTTGGAAAGCAATTCACGAATAATTCCTTCCATCCGTCGCAAAATCTCCTCATCTTCCGGCAAATATAAATTTGCTTTTATTTTTGGAAGCATATGACACAACTGTAACCTGCAAAATATTCTATGAGAGGATTTTATCAAATGCTTTAAAATTTTTCGAGATTTTCACTTTGTGAGATTTTTGAAAAATTTAAAACTATAAAAAATATGGACAAAAAAAATGTTTGCCCTAATTAACCTCATAACGAAATCAACTCAAATAATTTAATTTCTTGGAGAAATATGTACTTGACAGTTAGAGCTAATAAGTTGATTTTAATTTAATATTTATCTATAATCACTCTATCAAATATGAATTCATGAATTGAAGTGCTGTAAAATCAACAGTGCTGTCTTGCAAAAAACTGAACAACAGAATTTTTAAATTACCATTCAATTTCGCAAAATTTCAAAATAATTTTAAGATTAGCTAAAGCATTCGGAACAAAATTAATGTGAATATGTCATTTCAATAAGCGAAAAGCTATTAATTTAACACCAAAAACCAATCGATAACCTAATGCTTGTCACTTTATCGTTTGCCATTGCCAAAATTGGAATCAAAAAATGCGTATGAAAAAATTTGCGGCTGAAATTGGCGATAATTTCCGGAATCATGTCCAAAAATAATCGACGTCGGTGACAATTTTGATGCCTTGCGATTGCTGCAGTTTTTTTTAAGTTTAAAATTTACTAATAAAGTTGATAATAATAAAAAAGTTAAAGTTGAATTTCAAAAATTTTACACACTTCGCTAATTTTGCAACACGTGAAATGATATTTTTTTCTAATAGAAATTTCGAAGGCTAATGAATTGAATTACAATGAACAAAGAAGTCGATAATTGATTGGCGATCGACTTCGCAGGGATTTTCTCTCATAAATAGAAGAAGTGTGATTGAAGCAGCAACACGACACGGAATCGCTCGCTGAAAATTACTAAAAATCAGGACAATAAGATCAAAAATCATTTGAATCTTGTTGATTATGCTGCGGAATGCGGAATACCTTAAAGCTCATAGGTATATAGCCAACAGAAAGAAGAGCCAAGTGTTGTCAGTTTTTTATTTATCAAATTTTAACACAACTATTTAATCGCTGAACTTGTTCATTCCTAGGAACAGAAATTTAATCCAATTGTCACATTATCATTTTAATTTTGAGTGCATCAATGGAAAACATCAAACTTAGAGTGTAATGCAAAATAAAACATAAAAAATTATTTTTTTATGCTTTATTTTACATTATTTTTTTAGAAAATTCAATAATTCCAAACAAAAAACACTTACCGTAGTTAGCACCTCTTGTTTGAGCATTGGAATAAATGAGATAAAGAGATCCTTAACGGGAACTAAATATCGTAGCACGGCAATATTTTTTAGGTATGAATGTTGCGCCCGCCAGGAACTTGTTTTACGTATCAGTCGGTTACATCCTATTATTATATGATCCAACTGTAATCTGCTGATTTTCTGAAATCACAACTCTATAAAATGATATTGATATTTTATTTTTCATAAATCGATAAACATCGGAGGCTTATTTTGTTCACAATAAAATTGATTGAGTGTTATTTGAATATCAATCCAAAAATACGATTTCATCAATTCTCTTGGAAGCTTTAAAATGAAATAAAAGCATAAAATATCGTGAAGTTTTTACACAATTATTTTGCTCGGAAACACATTTATAGAGTACTGGAAGAATTCGATCAAGGTTACCCATCAAATGTCCAACGACTTCAGCAGAACTTCCACGAATCAACTCAAAAAATGGTGGTAGAAGAGTTGGTTCATTCGACATCAATTTTACAACCTGAAATTTGTTAATAAATTGATGTAAAAATATTTCCATCTTTTTCTTATTTTCAAATCAATCAAAATTTTTTCTTTAAGTTAAACGAATTCAAACCTCATGAAATCCCGCAGCTGTTGCAGATCGAATATCATCGTCTGGATCAGCACAAAAACCTTCCAAAATTGGTAACAAACGATCCTTGAAGAAATTTTCACCGTATTTCAATACCATACACTACAAAATAAACCATTGAATTTTATCTTAAATTCGCAAAAAAACAAAAATTTTTTCTTTTTCATAAGGACAAATTTTTAAGTTTCGAAGATATCAAAAATTAATTGAGCCTAAACGAATTAATTTAATTTACAATTATTGCAGGAATAATGCAGAAATAATATTAACAGTGATGCTAACTTCAACTGTCACATTTTTCAAATAACAAAATGCAAAAAAGATACACATACAGGGAAATTGTAAGCACACATGCGCCTAACTGATGTTTGAATATTTGATGAAACATTGCTATCATTACTGGATGATGAACATCGTGATAGATTGGCAATCTGAACATAAATATCCAAGAACCAATTGTGGTCTCGTACTGTTAACACATCCTGAAAAAGACTTCTAAGATTTAGAACCAAAAAATCCCGTCCAAGAACAAAAAAAGAATGCATCAGAATCATTCCAAAAACTCTTTGAATTCAAACTTTCATTTAAATTATAACTTTCTTTCCTACTAATAGAATACCTGCAATAAATCTATCCATTGGCCAAGATTTTTAGCCACCACACCAAGCGTTTCATCTTGAGCGCTTAGCGCTTGCTCGATTGAACGCTTCAAGAGTGGAACAATTGAACATTTACGTTGCTCTACAAAATTTGTAATACGGTATCAATTAGTGAAATGCATCTGATAAATTTCGAATAATTCATTCCTGCTATTCTGTTTGGAAATTAAAGCAACGGCAAAATCCTAAAATTATTTAAATACATTGAAAATATCGTCCATTACCCAATGTAATTAATTTTTTTGTAAACATTTATTAGACTGAGAAACTCAAAAAGAATTTGAAAAATCTCATTATGAAGTGATTTTATTGCAAATCATATATTCGAACAAAGATGATAGTAATAATAGGCTGTAGTAGCAAGCGGTAGTAGTAGGCGGAATAGTAGGCGGTAAAAATATACGATATTCATTCCTTAATGACGGTAGTAATTATGCAAATATTTGTATGAAAAAAAATAATGAATGCATTAGGCAGAAAAGAGAGAGAGAGAGAGAGAGAATTGAACCTTTTGATAGAAATGGAATACAAAGAGCGACATTATTCAATGCCGCCTCACGTGTTCCAATTTCAGTATCCTTGCACAGTTGAAGCAAACATGGCACTAATCCACAATCATTCGGATTCCTCAATAAATTTCAATTAAATTTTAATACACTAACCTAAAGTTCAGGCTTGAAAATAGTATTGTACGGTACAATATGCATATAAGTAATCTGCTGGTAATCATTTGGTTTTGTACATTTTAATTTCAATTGTACATTTTTTTATAACGAATTGTGATTAAAATATAAGCAATTGAATACCTCAGCGATTCAGCGACAACAGACAAATTTTGAGCTATAGAACTTCGCACATTCGAATTCGGATCATTACAAAGCATTTGGACACACGGCATAATATCACGTCGAATACTGCAAATAAACAAAAGAGTAAAAATCTAATATAATGTTAATTAGTATAGGTAAAGTTATTTATAGGCTAATAATGAGTTAGTGATGTGAACTGATTTTCAGTTTTTCACCTGCAACATACCTTGAAAATGAATTTATTTCTATTGGGGAGGAAAAAGTTGAGAAATTAAAAAAAGCTCTTCAAGTTTTATAATTTTTAATAAATGAATGAAAGATTTTTACAAAAAAAGAGACACCAAGAGTAAATTTACTCTCCTTTTTTGTTGGACAATTTGGAGTGAATAATATAATTTACTATAATTTACATTCAACCAGATTCGTTAATTAATTAATTGATAGTGTGAAGATTTTATTTTTTCCAATTTTTTCTTCATATTGATGAAAATTTTCATCCATCACTCAGTCAATTTAACTTTAATTAGTTACTGAATGGAAAAATTTTACATACATTGAAGTGCTAAAGTACAAAAGTGCAAGAAAAAGAGACCCACTCAATAGGTTCTAAATTTGCACATAATTTAATAATTAATTTAGTTGCAAGTACACGTCGTTGTGCTCGTTGTGATGTTTCAGCTTGTGAAATTGTTAATGGTACAACCTATAATTTGAATTAAAATATTATAACGAATTAAAAAATTTTTTTAGATGAAAAAATTTATAACAACAAAAATAATCAATTCGATTTTTATCAAATAACTAACGTAATCTACCTGTTTTTTTTCGAAATTTGAAAATCAATAAGATAAACAATTACCACTCATCCACTTTTTCCATATTCACATTACGATCACCTTTATCATTATCATTATTTCGTAATTAATATAGCTATGATAATAATCGTGATTATTATTCGTGATCGGCGCTATTATTAATATAATCATTAGGGGAGAGTAAAATTTGTGCAAAATTTGGTGAGCATTATTTAAGAAAAGGTCGAGAAATAATGAAATTTGGTTAATATGGAACCCACGAGCTGTTTGAGTTGCGATACGGGCACCTGATCGATCACTTCGACAAGCGTTTCTAACCATGCTGCTGCCGTTACTGAACAATGAAAATAAACTTTATTTTCAGAAATTAAATTTAATACTGAAAATTTTGCTGCTATATGGCTATGTATTGATTTAAATTTACTCATTGATAAGTTAACTGTAGTTACGAGCTGTGAAATCTTAATGATAAAATGAAGGAGCAAAAAAATAAAACTTGCAATTATCTTTTTGCTGCGCCGCATTCTGCAAAATGCCATCGAGGATTACATCACTAATTCCTCTAAAAATTTTATTCCCTACTAAAAATTTTATTTATTTATTTATTTTTTGTTAATTCTTTTTTTTGGAGAAGAGATAAAACTCGAAAGTTTGCATAGTCTAGAGCAAGAAAAGAAAAAAGAAAAAAGAAGTAATGCAATAAGACATTAATAAGCAGATTAAGATTAGAAGATCATAAAATTTTAAGAGGAAGTTCAATTCAAACATTCAAATAGTTTAAAGTTTATAATCTCAATTCGCTGTTTTAAATTTTTGTTTAGAGAAGTAGTAAAGTATCAAAAATATTCCCCCCTTAAATGTGCAACGGTTAATCATTACAAAATTTTGCAAAATTTTCAAAACTTTTGAATACATCTGAATTCTAAAAAAGGTAAAAAACTTACAAAACATGAGCGGTAAGTTTACTATTTCGATAAATATTTTTATAGGTGACAGCTGCTTCACATTGCATATCCAAATTCGAGCATTCCTCACTCAACATTTGCTGAATAGCATTACGAGTAAATAAGAATTTTCGATTTATTTACGAATTATAGAAATCAAGTATTTCAATGTTCTTTCACTCTCTTTAATTTCCATCCAATCGTTTTTCCGTTAAAAAAAAAGGTCTATCCTTCTAAATACTGATGAAATATTTGTAATTTCCATCACTTTCTTTTCCTCAAATAAATGATTTGTTTTTGGTAACTTCTTCAATTCTAAAATTTGAAGTTAATGCCAAATGTGACTCATTGATAATCGCAATAATTAGTTACACAATCAGTCACAAAGCATCAAATGCACTTATGCAAAAAATATTAATTTCTAGAATTCAGTAGAAATCGATGCTCACTTGGACAATTGGCATGATCTTTTCGACAACTTGATCACCGTCGGTTTCCAGCAAATCGTTCAGTGTTCGAATTATCGATAGTTTTTGGATTTCTCGTCCTGTTCTGAAAATTTTAACCGAAATTTTTTAACAATTCATGAAGATAAATTATCATCAATTTCTTAATGAACAAAAAAAAATATTTCAAAAGAGGTAAATTTCGAAATGGTCCGAGAAAAAAGAAAAGAAAGACAAAATTCTTTAAATCATTCATCCAATTAAATAATATTTTAAAAATTTTAAAGTGCTGATAATGAGAACTACAGCAAAAAAATGCACTGAAATTTTAAAATAATCGAAAAAGCGAATGGGACTGAGATTTTTTTGTTAAAATAAAATTAAAAATTTGAATGAACTTATTGGATCAGGAAAACAATCCAAAAAATAATTTAAAAGATGATTAGAGATAAAGTAAATGCTAGATTTTCAATTTCAAAAAAAAAGACTTGAGAATATTAATTGCATCATCGACCGGTGATTGCAGGAATTCGGTAAGATCCGGATCATTCGCTGCATTTAACAGTGATTCCCAATCAATTTTTTCCTCATGTTGTTGAGTTTCTTCATCATTTTCAGCTTCCGTGTTACTCATTTCATTCAAATTGAATTGTATTTTAATCAGTCATTTAAACAGCAGCAATCTATAAAATAAAATTTGATGTTAACGTATTCGTAGGATTTCATTAGATATTTTACATTCAATAGCAAAAGAAAAGTCGTTATCATCGAAAAAATTGAATACAAAAAAAACCATTCCAAAAAAATTCCGAATCGAAATTAAAAACATAATGATTCACAAAAAAAATTTGCAAAAATAAATTGAAAATATTAATATTGTATTGATAACTATCAAAAAAAAAGATGGAATGTATGAAAGCGAAGAAATTGGAATAATCAAAAATGCGATATTCATGAGCGATTGAATTCTGTCACAAAAAAAAATAATAATTCAGTTTGAAATACAGCTATTTTACAAGCTATGTGATAGCATTACAGGATTGAATATTATGAATGATTGTTTCGTTATAATTCATATCCATTAAAAAGCATAATAGCATACTCAAAATAATAAAGTTATAAAAGACGGGAGAAAGAGTAAACGTTGTGACACATTTTATTTTTTTGGGAGTGAAGGTAAATATTTTTGTATTTTTGTTGGAAGAAAACATCGATGGCGGAATTTTAAAAAATGGTCTAATTGGAGATTGTTTTTGAGTCTTCAATTTCCTCTTTTTTCAAAAAAACAAAAACTTTTGTTTGTTATTTTAATGGAATCAAATTGAGAAGTGTAAGAAAGGTGAGAGAGAACGGAGGAATAAAAGAAAGGGAAGAGAAGGAAAGAAAAAGAGAAGAAAGTTTATGCAATTAGGAAAATAAAATGAAGAAAGTCAAAATAGTTTTGCGGGTATTTTTGAGGAACAGAGGAATTGCTTAATTTATTCTTTCACAGTTTTAACAATTTGTATGGCACAATTTCAGAAAAACGGAAAAATCGCTTAAATTGATACTGATAGATTTGATAGTTTAAGTGATAGAATTTTAAAGGAATCATTTAAATTGACATTTACAGATTTCGTAATTTGTGCGGTATAAATGCAACTGGAATTAGAATTCTTCGCAATTTGAAAGAAAAAATTTTGAAAAGAAAAGAAGGAATAAAAGATGAATGAAAAACGAATGGATGAGAAGAGAATGATTTCAGCATGTTTGTGTGTGTGTGTGTGTGTGTGTGTGTGTGTGTGT